CACACACACACACACACACACACACACACACACACACACTACCTCATCCACACCCACCCCAACAGCAATACCCGTTTGACATGATGAGAGAGCAAGTGGTTTGGATGGGAGGCAAAGAGAACACCGATTACCCCGCTATGTGGGAACGTCACGATAATGACACACGCATCTGGGAGACAGTGTTTGGTGAGTTGGCATGCACGAACACACCCACTCACAGCACGTGCATGTCGTACACCCGTGGCTTATGTCACATTTCGCTGTTGACACTCATCCTACTCTTTTTACTGTTCCTTTTTGTGCATGTGTTTTGTTGTAGGGTTTTTTTTGTAGTTTTTTTTTTGGGGGGGGGGTGTTTGTTGTTTTTTTGCTGTTGTTGTTTTTGGGGTTTTATATTTTTCTTTTATTATCTTAGCCTAATCCAGACTGAAAAGCAAATTTAAAGCTCATGTCTCGTTTTTCAAGCCCCCCAAAAAGCACGTTCCAGTTTAGAAGATTCGAACTTTCCTTCCGTGTGTTCGTTTGGTTGGTCAAATCAAGATCTCCGAAGTGAACAATCTCACTTAAAATCCAGTTTTGAACGTCGGTGGGTAGAACTATCTCAACAGTGTTACATCCTCTTTTCAGAACAGTTCCTAATCAGAGTTCCTCGAGTAGATACATTTTATTTAAACTTCAGACCCCCCCCAAAAAAAAAAAAAAAAATTAAAAATGCAAATTTACTTCCTTTATTGTGGTCATACCTTAGACTAGCAGCATTGGAGTTCTTGTTTTTCAGTCTGGATCTGGTTCAAGATCAGTTGTCCAATTGTATTAACAGGACGCACTGAATCCATGTGCTTTCATAATAGTGACAGTAGTAGTAATAATCGTGATAGAAAAACAGACGGTTACAAGATTTAGGCACTTTGTTCTCTTGTCAGCATGTCAAAACAGTGGGCCTTTGAAGTTAATTTACCTGTCATTTGTAGAGCGTTACGTGACGCTGTCTCATAAAAATCATGTAAAAAATCACTGACAGAAATACACGTGAGTGTGTGTTCTTATATTTGTATGGAGTGTGTGTGGGGGGGTGGTGCGTGTGTGTGTGTGTGTGTGTGTGTGTGTGTGTGTGTGTGTGTGTGTGTGTGTGTGTGTGTGTGTGTGTGTGTGTGTTTGTGTGTGTGAGAGAGAGTGTTCCGTGTGAATTTATGCGTGTTTGTGGAGCAGGTAGGTAGGTGGGTAAGTTGGTAGATATGTCGTTAATTCAATGTTTATTACCATTGGCTCGAAACTAATAAAATGAACATATTTTACAAAAGGAACTTACTTTTCAGCCGCATAAATTATAAATGACATACATATACATATCAAAAGCAATTTAAAAGAGGTTTGAGTTGTTAAACAAAGGTTTCCAAAATAAAGTAGTATATTGTGGTCGAGGGGGAGGGGCGGGGCTTTCAAGACAAGTTGTTTCTGTATTTTACAATGGATGTCGGTGGATCTCTTTGCCGATTGTCGCCTAAGAGACGTCGCAATGGACAGGTAATGCCGCAGCATCAAGCCTGAATGACTCTTGTCTGAAAAAGACAAACTTCAATGAAGATTGACACAAAGATATCCCAAACTAAAATGCATTGCTATTTAGTATAAAGTTAAGACCAAGAAAATATAAAAAGTACATTATTCATTGCTCTAGATTTTTGTCGTTGCTGCTGTTGTTGCTTTTGTTGTTGCTATTAATTTTAATGATCGAACGTACCTCTGTCTTTAACGATGAATACATATCGCCTGCCAAACGTAAAATTGACCGAAGAAAAAGTCAGACCAAAAGTGTTGGTTCTTCTTACTAATAGAAGCGAGCGCTTTTTGTTTATACAATATCTGTGGACGTGCTTTTAGCCGTTTTCCCATTGCCAGCCCATTTTCACCATAACTTCATTTTTCGCTTCGAAAGGCACATTTGATGATGAGCTCGCTGACCGGGAGATTGCTGTGGCAATGCATTATATTAACACCAGAGTTATTGACGTGGAAACATCTCATATAGAATCGGAGGCCTCTGAGAAATTTATTAACTCATTAAAGCTGCAGCAATGCTTTCCGGCGTGTCATTACCCCTACAGAGTGAGACACCAAGCTAAGGGCCTTCAGAGAGCCCCAAAGGCTTTAAGGCGTTCGGATTTAAATGAAGATAAAACCGGCGGCCTGTGAAATTGCGGATACTTTCTTTATCATTTTAGAATCAAAGGCTGCATCAAATTGCTGGTTAAAGAAGACTAGGATTTGTTGGGCGGATTTTTCTCGATAAGACGTTGCCTTGAATGAACATCCCACGAAGGGAGAAACTTGGAGTAATTTGCTCTATGAAGTCTGGCTTCAAATGGTTTTCTCCCAACGGTGGCTTTATTGTGATCCTACAGGTCACTCTGCAGCTAGGAAATTTACTCTTTTGGTTCTGAGAAGTAGTGCTTGATGCAGAGTTGTGAGTCATCAAGTTGGTGACATCTCATCAGAACTCACTACCGCTCAGACATAGTCTGCTGAAATGTTACATCTTTTCCAAATTCATGCACGG